TGAGAAAAGTGTGTGGGAGTGACAGAACAAGGGGTAAAGGGTTTAAATACACTTGTAGTTCTATACTGTAGCTGAGAAATCTGCTGATTGTAATGACCATTTGCTCCTGTGAGCTGAAACAGTCTAGGATTGGGTTTCAGGAGAATTTATATCAGAAAGCACCTAACACGTGTTCAGTTCGGAGGATGGAGACAATCATGCTTTGCTTAGACCTACAGCTCTAATGGCACGTTGCACCTGGGATCCTACTGCTACTTTCTCTGACATGAAAACTGACCACTAAATCTTTCTCTGCAATGAACATGCTTGAAAATGACACACAAATCCCAGGAAAACACAAATGAGCATAACGATCTTAAGCAACGTGAAACTAAGAATAAGGGGGTGAGCTATTCTGGCAGTGATTCTTTAAGAGCTTGGCTATACAAATCATCAGTTTTGAACTAAACTTCACTAAAGTGAATACACAGCAAAATTCTCCAGTGTCTAAAGCAGAGCAGACCAAGAGAAATCCTTGTTACACCAGGAAATGGTGAGCAAGGCCTATGGAACTGCGAGGTCTGCCCAAGCTCTCTTCTTTCCCTTACTCATAGCTCATATTTCAGTAGGGTTTAGCAATACTGATCTTTAATTTGTACCCCATGTGCTCTATGATGTACAAATACAAAACACGCTCCTTCTGTGGCTCAGGATATGCGTGAGAATTGCAGAAAGTCTTGCTCCTGTATCAATCCCTCTGCTTTCAGTTTGTTGTGAGACATGACACAAATTTAGATGGACTTGTACTCTGTTCCAACATGAACATTCTTCTGATTTTACAAAGCTGTCTGCTGCCATAAGGAAACCAAGAGGGCTTTAAAGAAGTTTCTGTACTCTGAACTTGACTTACCTCATGCTTGTCTGGAGCAATGAAATTCAACTGGCCACTCGAGTCATACAATATAGAGAAAGCAAGCTCTAGCACCTCCTGCAACAACACAAAGAAACATATATTAATGCTGCATGAGAGAGGCATTAAATCATTCAGGTCTGCCTTTCTTTTCCTACCACTTATTTCCCAAAAATAAGTGGAAAAACAGGTTATAGTGCTTTCCTGCCTGGCCAAAACTGCAGCAGCAGCAGCCCATTGCAAGAGACTGGCACAGGGAGAACCCCAACACAGATGCTTCAGTCAGAACAAGCTCACCCCTCCTCAGCTGACTGTAGCTCACTCAGTCATGGATTACCTCAGCATTTGAGTTTATATTTGACCTAGCCAATGGCGAGGAGTAAGATCAATACAACTCATAATAGTACACTAGCAACAAACTCTTCATAAAGACCCATGGTTTCTTCAATCTGCCTGGACGAAACTTGCAAAGTTCTGCAAGGTTTGATTCCCTGTGTTAAAAATCTTGCTAGGACAGTTAATCTCCTGGTATACACTTATGCTCTTTTGACTGCTGGAAATCTATTAAATTATTCATTCTCAAGAGATTTCTGTCATGTGGTCTCTACCTGAACCAGAAGTCTCAGTCAAACTGAACTATCTGGGTTACTTAGTCATAAAGGCCCAGATGAATCCCAGGAAAGGAAAAAAATGATAAACTTCTTTTCCCCTCAGCACTGAAGCTGGAATTTCAAAGGTGCCAAAATGAATTCATCAAGCCCTAATCTTCCCTAAAAGCCACCTGGACCTGAGTTCCTATGGGGAAAGCCATCCAATTTGAATGAAATAATGCACTTCCACAGCTCAGCAGTGAGCATGTAAAGACGCTGTGTTATCAGGGTTACTGCAGACATCTCTACAAGCACCAGGATAAGGGTTTTGCAATCTGTAAGCAAGCTGACATGGATATGACACCTCTGTGGAAAAAAGACCCGGCTACAGAGGAGAGTGCTGACTCATAACTGTCTGTATCGTATGTCCTGTTCTTTTTGATTCTTGGCTTCCTGAGCCCCATAATACAGATTGCCTTTCACAGAATAATCGAATCACAGAATGGTTTGGGTTGGAAGGAACCTTAAAGACCATCTAGTTCCAACCTCCTGCCATGGGCAGGGACACCTTCCACTAGACCAGGTTGCTTTGCTGACTCTCAGCTGACAACAGTCCGTACGCTGCCTGCAGTGACAAAAGCACGGCTTCTTAGACTTAGTGTAGGAAGTTTTAAAATGGAAGAATTGACAGTGGGGACTGCAGCCTGTACATTGCTCTAGATTTCTAGTCCTGAAATTTGCTCTTCATCTCCTGGTCTGAAACAGGTGTAGATCTTTGGATTTCAGGAATAGTTATTTCTGCTCTGAACTTGTGTGATTAAGAGCGGAGTCTGATTCGTAAAACCTGCAATCGTTAGGGACAATCTTGAATGATCAGAGATCAGGCTTCCCATGGGAAATGCTCTTGGCTTCCTTGAGTTTAGTTATCAGGTTCAACTTGCGGTATTGCCAGGCCACAGGCCTGTGTTAAATCCCCAAGGAAGCTGCAGATACTAACAGTCCTGGAGCACTCAGGAAACAAATGGCTCACAGCTCACATAGCCTTTTTGTGTTTTAGGCACATCTCTCAGCCACACCTTATTAAGAGCAATGTCCCTCATTACAGAAACAAATTCACCTCTGCCCACACAAACCTGGCATTATCTCCTCACAGTCTTACAAACACACCAAGTCATGCAACTGGCTCTGTGAAATAAAATATATCATTGAAAAAAGGGCTTGTATTGCTCTACTACGATGGTCCTGAAATTCATGAAGGTCAACAAAAATCCCATAGGCCTAGCCTCTGAATATTTGTCCTTTGGGAAGTTCCAAGGGATGGAAGTTTTTGTTCATCTCAAAGAAAGGAAAAGGAGTGAAAAGCCCTGCCTGAAAGAGGAATAGCACAGGGAGACACAGGTTTGGTCATTCCCAGTCAGGTAGACAATCCAAAATGCCGAGATTTAGGACACCAGGTTTCCTTTCATGTGGTAAAGTGGGAGTTTGGCAGTCATGGCTCCAGTTCAGCTTCTTTGCTGGTTACTCTGGAGACTAAAGGCTCAGAAAATACAGCTTCCAAGCACCGCCGTCATCTCATACATGGCAAACTGTCAAGGAAGATGGAAGGCCAAGGAGCTGGAATTGCCAACTGGCCCTCCTCACTGACAGTGGTCGCAGGAGTTGAGCTGTCTGACTTGTCAGGCACCCCCCCCGATATTGTTAAATTCCCATCAAGCGATTTTGAGGAATCAGCAATTCCTAGAAGAAAAGCGACTGGTCAGTCTCCATCAGCCAGCTGGGATTTTCTCCTCCCTGTTCTGTCCTACTTCTCAACAGTTTTCAAAGTAATTTTCCACTCCAGCCACCATTTGCTCTCTGGTTCTCCTTCTCTCCCACTCCTTCCAATCTGTTCCTTCCCTTTTTGTTTTGCTTTCCCCCTGCCCCACCTCAATCTGCTGAACTCACTCCCTTGACACTCCTAATTCTTTCTACCCTTACACATTTCAGACCTCTGCCCTTCCCCTGACGTTTGTCAAAGGTAACAGTATGGAGACCTTCAACGTGCCTCTTTTTTGAGCTTCACCAAAAAGAGGGAAAAAGAAGCTCTGCACCTGCTGGCTGGCCACTTCCCACCCCTTGGTTTCAACTCCACAGGCAAGGGTTTTGCAGGTGGTACAAGGAGAAGCATGCTCTTCTACGCCCAGAGCCTCTCTCCCCCGGAGTCTCCACTGGCCCCTCACGTGGGCCACTGACAAGCTATTTTTGTCCAACAGGCATTTTAGGTGCCTGTGGCTGAGTGACCCCACGCAGCTTGAATGATCTCACTGCCCTCTGCCTACTCTTGTCGTCAACAGCCTCAGAACGCCCGTGTCTGCTGAAGGCTGAGACCACAGCTGTGTCAGGTTTGACTGCCACAGCCCGAAGGCCTGCCCCCCACCCTCCGCCCCGAGAAACATCTATATATGCAGCAGCAGGGAACTGGCTCAGTCAACACAAAGTAAGAGAGAAGAAAAGCTGAAGGAGAACAGGGAAGTGAGCAGGACCATTTCTGCTGACTAAAAAGGCACCAAGCCTGAAGCCTGACACATCAGCAAGCAAAGGGTGATAGCAGAACGCTCAGAAATGCATGGCTGTATTTTTTCCCCAATTTTTCACTCGTGCTTTGTTTTGAAGGCTGCAAAACCTAACACATTTCATTTCCTTGAAATTCATTAATATTCCTCGAGAGTCAGAAATGAGGACTGCAAAATTAAACCTAATTTGAAACCGCATGCAAGATGAATGACAATGGATTCAGGTCCGCTCCTATCAAGTTGTTCCAAGTTCATAGGCATGCAAATTCCACTTCAGTTTAATTCTTATTTATTTCTAAATGGTTCTGCTGGAAGAATAAGGGCCACGTGCCGGCAAACGGGGAGGCGCTGAAGCCTTTGTTATGGACATTCTGCCAATTCCAGCTATGCTCATAGCAGTGGCATTCTGCCATTCAATTTCCTTGTCTGCCAATGAATAAACATTAAGGTGATCATTATATATGTACAAAGAAAGCACAGGATGAAAAGACCTCTTAAAAATATATCATCGATGGTGAAATTTCAGGGAGTGAAAGGTTTCATACACCAAACTCAGCCAAATTGCATTCTGTGTCTGGCTTTTTTTTCCCCTCAAATTTTCATTTCGTTGTCCACATTAACTTGGTACCCTGCAAACAATGATGTGTTATTCCTATGACGTCACTTAAGTAGTTGCAGTATGGTGCACGAACATTTGACTGGAATGACAACTGATTTAACGAATTCTGTAATTTGCAGGTAAAAAACCCCCAAGGAATCAAGGAAACATAATAATAACAAAACCCAACACCACAATACCACACCAGAAATAGTAAAAACATAAAAATTATTATTGCTTGGATCATAAATGAAATGCTCCAGCTATAGATACAGCCATGCTACCTACCGTCTCTTGATCTTTACATTCTCAGCCAGAAGTTTTATGCCACTCCAAGGCAATTCTACGTGAGAAAATGGAGTGATGCTGATAGCTGAGGACAAACTGGTCTGCAGCACTGCTACTTAGCTTTAAATACTACCTAGACATTACTGCTCCATAAAGATGACACATTTCCATCACTGCTACCCACTGCTTTCCTTCTTCCTATCTTCCCTTTCTGTGCCGACATACGAGTGCTAAGGCAAAGCAGCACTAAAAATACTTTACATGCATCATATAACCGTCCCAGCCAAATGCTGTTGATGGTTCAGCTGTAACATGAGGTAGAAGTTGTATGCAATCTACTGCGTGCATGTGTGTTAGTGCAGAAAATCAACAAGGAAAAATACTCCTGGGTGTTTTTTTTTTCCTGGCTTGGCCTGACTTTTTCATTTCTAACCATGTAAAGCCAGTGCTGAAAGGAGACGATGGGTATTGTGACAGACTTAAAGCAACTCACATTTATGAGAAACGCATGTGAAGAATGCTCAAGAAGCTCCGCATATAGTTAAGGAATGAAAAGTTTCAGCTATGAAGCTGCGACAGTTGTGTGATGTAGTTTTCACAGGGTCTTTTCATTTTCTATGGTTCCAATCAGAATGTTTTTTTCCAGTATTTATTTGAACAGCAAACTCATGTATTTGATTTTTAAAGGGCTGAAGCAGCATCAAAATACCTTTCTAGTTGGACCCATAATTTTTCAGTTTCAGGTAACTAAAAATCACAGAATGGTTTGGTTTGGAAGGGACCTTAAAGACCATCTAGTTCCAACCCCCCCGCCATGGGCAGGGACACCTTCCACTGGACCAGGTTGCTCAAAGCCTCATCCAGCCTGGCCTTGAACACTTCCAGGGATGGGGCATCCACAGCTTCTCTGGGCAACCTTGCCAGTGCCTCTGATTTGGTTCCCAGACCTCAGGATGTGGTTCTAGATCAGACAACATCATTAGAGTCTCTCTCCTTCCCATAACGTCAGACGACATGACCTCATGGAAATCTTACGAGCATACCTCATACGATACGGTATGAAGACCTTCACCACTAAAGCTGTTAGACTTTGCTAGTAACTCAATTTCTTCTTGCTGTGGCAGTAGTTCTTACTAACAAAAACTCCGCAAGGTTCTGGCACTGTACAGTTTAAGCCTTACTGTCATTTTACATCTCTTGATCTGGAAGTCTGAAAGGTAGTCCAAATCTGATTTAAGTTGACCATTGTCTTCTACACATTTTTTTCCCAAATACTCTGCTGAACATATCCTTATACACCTCATTAATTGCCTGGCAGCATTTACCTTACATCCTTTTGTTGGCAGTTGTTTTCTATCTGACTGGACCTGAAGTTATCATCAGCTGGACATTAATTGCAATTTTGGCATGTGCCAGTGTTCACTGAACGTGAGCCCATCAGAGAACAGAGCTAGAACAAAGTAGTTATTTATCAGAGACAAGGTGGGAGTAGGTACCAAGAGTCATCACTAGTCTGCTCTGTAGCACCAGTCAAAACCACTTTGCTTAAGACTACCCTAATGTGCTCTGGGCATATCACAATGCACATCTGCCACGAAATCTGGGTAAAGGAAGGTAGGCTGTCCCAATAACTTAACTCAAATGGTCTGAGGCAAAAATAAAGTGCGTGCACATCCACAGAAAGGTGGCAGGCTGGAATGAAAAATGCCCGTATTACTTCAGGGAAGGTCAAGCCGACAAGCTTTGTATTCTGCGGGGTGCGCGTTCGTAACAGTTTGAGAACCATACCTTGTTTTGTTTAAGAGCTCCTTTCTCCTTCATGTGAGGGCAGTCTTTTCCAGTCACAACAGCTTTTATGTCTGCCACTGGCACTGCATTATAAAGAAACAAAAGCAAAAACCAGAAAATTAGACCAAGACATGTAAAAGCTACAGAGTCTAAAAAGACGCAAGACTAATGTGTTAAAATTGCCACCTCCTTTGCCATTTCCAGCCTGTTGTAAGAAAGAAAGCTGGAAGAAAACAACTAAAATAGGAATCAGTGAGTCTTGACAAAATCTCAGGCACCTGAATAAAAAACAGAGTATGCTTTTCCTTGCCTGCTGAGACTACTTTAGGTAAGAGTGTTTCACGTAGATGTGTACCTGTGTCTGGGCAGCTTTTACGTGTACTCACGTATCTAGAAAACATACTGTCTTTTGCCTTACTACTCTAAGTCTCTGCTGAAGAGAGGATGCTGGGCAAGTTGGACCCTACCTCACTCGATGCTGTTGTCCTTCTGTTAATGTCTGTATGAATTTGCCAAATCATTTTTTATTTCACTTCCACCAGCAATGTAGTCGCTTTCTGGGCTAACGGAAATAAGGACTACTCAGGTTTATAACTACCCATGATCAGAAATCATTGGGGGAAAAAAAAAAGGCAAGAAAAAAATATTGAAAGCTGCGGCCACTCAGATTCACTCACAGAGTGAGGTCACTAAAACATAAATATTGCTGAGTTTCAAGTGGAAGTCAATTTTCCAATGGTAATTACATTACAGAGAATCTATAGGCTCCTCAATACAATATGGTCAGTGAGTGACAGTTTCTACAATCTATAAATAATCCATTATCCTTGTGGCTGTGGAAAAGCATCATACATATATA